AGGCATTTTTTTCCACAATCGCTTTCTGAGTGCCCTCCCACCTTCCAGTCCGATATCTGACAATGTTTCTCTGCTATGCATAGAGTTTTCAGTGACTAGCGATTCGGAAGTAGTTTGTCACTCTTTCTTCCTAGTCTGGCCTTTAGATGGATGGATTGAAATGTGAAGTATACTGGAAAGCACTGAAATCAGATGAAGGGACAGGTAAAGGGGAGAAGCATGTGATCTGATTTTTCTGTTGTCACTGGTCTCCCTGACTTCAGAGTTTACTGTTGGGATTACGGAAGCAAGTGTTAGTGGGAGGGAGTGTTGGTGTAAGGAGAGAAGCAAGGGAAAAAAGCTAATGGTCACTAAGTAACTACAGACTATCCAAGATTGCATTGTTATGGTCATCTGGTATATTTGCTATCGTTCCTTTGCAATTAGGATATTTTTGCTCAATTTCCTGATCTTTTCAAACTTCATTTTGAGTTATACTTCAATTACATTTGGAGATGGTACATGGGAGAACATATCTTGTAGTGTCATTGACAGAAAAGAAGACCCTTGACTGAAAATTATAGATGCACCACTATCTCTTCTATGACTTTTACTTCCAAAAACTTACTTTCAGAACTTGTACTTTGGTGGCAGTTGTGTGCCATGGAATTGGTTCCGACTCAAAGCAGCCCTGCATAGGGTTCCAAGGCTATAAATCTTTACAGGAGCAGAAAGTCTCATTTTTCTCCCACAGAAGGACTGGTAGTTTCGAACTGTTGACCTTGAGGTGAGCTGCCTGACTTGTAACCACTATGCTATCAGAGCTTCTTGGTGGTGGTGGCTGTGTGCTGTGGAGTTGGTTCCGACTCATAGCGACCCTGTACAGGGTTTCTGAGGCTGTAAATCTTTACGGGAGCAGAAAACTTCATCTTTCTCCTGCGGAGCAGCTGGTAGTTTCGAACTGCTGACCTTGTAGTTTGCAGCCTGATTCGTAACCACTACGCTACCAGAGCTCCTTTCAGAGCTCCTTAGTCAGGGATTATTTTCCAAATGAGAGGCCTAAGTTACTATTAATTAAAATATAAAACCACTTCCTTTCGGTAGCTCCAAACCTTTTAATTATTTTGTTTTGACTTGAAAAATCGCACAAATTCCCTAGCATTTTCTCTTTGTTTCTATTCTTTGAAGTTTCAAATGCTGATGTTGCTCTGTCCTAAATCCTTTCCAAATACTCTTGGTGTCTTTTTCAGATCCTGGCAGACCGACAAATTATAACTGTGGTTTGGGGATGGCAATATATCTGATTCACATATCTGTTGGATCTGTTGGTCCTCACATAAGTCAGATGAAAATGTTCTACTAACTGTTCTACTTTTCTGTTTGTCCTGTGATCTATAGACATAGCCTGAGGCAACTGGTAAGATAGTTGTGAGCTGTTGCCTATTGGTCTATTTTGTACTGAAAAGCATCATCTTAATTCTTTCCAATTGCTACCTTCAAATTGCAGGGCGGCCAAATGTTCTTCCTTTATTTTGAGTCTCACTTCATTTTTCTTTTCTGCTTCGGCAATTTCCTCTGGGGTTACAACTACAGTAGACGCTTCTGTTACAGGTGGTGATTTGCCTGAAAGGGCAAGAAGGTATGCTGAGTAAACTGCTAATATACAAGTGCTCAGACACACAATACTTGGACAAAATCAGTAGAAAATTTATAGAATTATCAGCCTCTAGGATTTGGAAACTAGAAACCCCAGCTGTCACAGTAAGCAGTGAAATCCTGACAGATCTACCTTGAGAGTCTTCCATATGGTATCCCCACTGTGTGTCATCATGGGGAAATCAGGCATGCAGCAAATGCAGAGATGATTACAAAGTCAGCAAATCCCAACATAGTGCAGATGCCATCAGTCATCAGCAGAAGATGACTTGTATTAGCAAAATGTTTCTTAGGTCTTCATCAAGACAAGGTCAGAGAACAACCTCAGAAAGGTACGGCTGAACTGTGATTGATGTTCATGAACCTATAATGCCCTTGCTGTTAAGTGCTGTCGAGTCAGTTCCGACCCATAGCAACCCTATATAGGCTTTCCAAGGAGCAGCTGGTGAGTTTGAACTGCTGATCTGGCAGTTCAAACTGACTTTGCAGTACAGAGTATTAACCCACAGTGCCTCACCAGGACTCGATAATCACCTAATTATTTTTAATTAGTTCTTAAGTATAAGTACCTTAGTGATTACATAAGAGACATACAATTTATCAGTATTTGCCTAAGGATTTGCGCTAAGAGTCGGCAGCATGATTCTAGTTGTGAGCCCTGGTTTATGCAATTGTGCTTAGTTCAAAAAATCTTTTTTGAGCCTCTGATCCCAAAGTGTTTATAATCTTATGAAGAAGACATAAATGTGAACAAATAAATTACGGTGGTGGTGGTGGTGTGTTTTTGAGTTGGTTCTGACTCACAGTGACCCTATATAGGGTTTCAGAGGCTATAAGTTTTCAGGCTGTAAGATTTCAGCAGAAATCTCATCTTTTTTCCCATGGAACAACTGGTAGATTTGAACTACTAACCGTGTAGTTAGCAACCCAGTTTATAATCCACTATGCTACCAGAGATTGTTATGTTGTTGGTGGTGTTAAGTGGCATTGAGTCAGTTCTGACCCACTGCAATACTATATAGGGTTTCCAAGGTGTGGCTGGTGAGCTTGAATTGACAACCTCGTGGTTCAAAGTGACTTTGTAGTCTAGTGCATTAGCCAACAGAGCCACACCAGGACTTGTGATAGATATATTATAAAAATTATAATTAATACATTATAAGAATTAATATGACATATTAATTCTAATAATAAATGTATGTGCATGTTATAGATAAAAGAGTTTAAGCATTTGGATTTGTGTTTTGTCATCTGTACAATTAAGGAGTGGAATAGGATCAGTTACTCTGTTAAAAGTTTCCCTCCAGAGCTATTTATTCATAGTACTGTTATCATCTGAGATGGATGACAGTGGTGTGTTCTTTATTAATATTCTACTCTTCTGTTTGTCTCAAGTGCTACCATCCCTCGTGTCCCTTCCTCCTTTCTCAGTACTTTATCTTGTTATCTCTTACCATCAGTGTTTTGTTCCTTCTATGTACTGTATTTGGGAATCGTGTCTCTGTCCCCTCAGATGTAAGGAGGTGACTTTGCTCCCAAGGTACCAATACCTTCCCTATCAATAAATTGACAAAGAGAAGCTATAGTCCCCATCTAGCAACAGAAATAAATACACCCTAAATATTTTTAGGGTTTCAGAGGCTGTAAGTCTTCAGGGGAGCAGAAATGACTAATGAACAGTATTCTAATGGTTTATATAACCCTTTTTTTGTGTATTGATTTATTGATTTTCGTTATTTTGTTTTGGTTTTCATCATTAAGGAGTCTCTTGATGGTACAATGGTTAATGAAAGGTTACAAGTTTAAGTTCACCTAATGGTACTCAGGAGTCCTGGTGAGGCATTGTGGGTTAATGCACCAGACTGCAAAGCCATTTGAACTGCAAGGTCTGTGGTTCAAGCTCACCAGCTGCTCCTTGGGAACCCTATACAGGGTCGCTATGGGTCAGAATTGACTCAACGGCACTTAACAACAACAACAACAATGGTACTCAGAATAAAGACTTAAGGATCTACTTCTGAATAACTAACCATTGAAAACTCTACTGAGCACAATTCTACTCTGACACACGCTGGGTCCATCCGGGTGGACTAAAGGACAAATGGTTATGAGGGAAGAATGTGTCTGTAGAAGCCATCACAGGACTCTCGCTCAACAGATTCCTAATGAACACATGCACAATCGGTTAATGAATGTCCTGTCTGCTACTATTAGTTTCCTGTCTTGAGTCACTTCAAAAATGGAAACATTCAGAAAAGAAGGGAATGCTTGTGCCAGAGCTGTCCCCAGTGTGAACTGGAACTGGGAGGTTTCTCCCAGTATGAGTTTCTTTCCTCTGTATCTTCCATTGTGCCTCTAGGCAGAGATTGAGGGAGTAGGTCTCCTGAGAGATGTGCTTGAATTAAAGTGCCCTGAAAAGCAAATGCATGTAATTAGCTTTTAAATTTCTCTGGGCCACTACAGCAAGTGGGAAACCCTTGGCACACAGTCTTCCAGTTATATAGTCTCATTTTAGAATTCCTTTAATATGTTCAAAACTGTCTTTGAAGTATATTCTACCTGGATATAACCCGATATTTGGATAAACAAGTTGGGTGGGACTAGTATGCAATACATTTGTCAACTAACACCACAGGCTCCCAGAGACCTGGGTTCCTCATTTCAGTCAAGGCTTCTAAGTGGTTTAAACAAGTTCCGTCATGGCCAAAGCAGAGAAATTGGGTATTGGAATATTAAACAGAACAGGAAAAATGATGGGTCAAAGACCTAGAATGGAGACTTGGAAAAGGAGCAGTGAGTCCTTTCAGGAGCATGATGTTGCTGTTAAGTGCCTTGGAGTTGGTTCCAAGCCATAGTGAGCCTGTAAAGGGTTTCCGAGGAGTGACTGGTGAGCTTGAACTGCTGACCCTAAGGTTCAAAACAACTTTGCCATCTAGCGCATTAGCCCATAGAGTCACACCAGGACTCCAGGAGCATGATGAGGGAAACTGGATTATTGCCAGGACTCTGGAGTGTGACACACATTCAAAGCGATGTGATGAACTGCCATCTTTGAAGGAGACCACTGTTTATTTTGCCAGTCAAGTGATTTGGCTGCTATGCAATATGCACTCTTCCCTTGTATTTTAAGAGGACATGAAGTTTCTAGAAGGATACTGACAGTCATTTCCCCCCACTGTAGTTATCATTCTGATAATCATTTTACAAAATCAGACCCTTGCCAGATTTCATTTTGTGGGCTTTGACTCAATTGGGAAGAAACAGTTTTGAACTGATTTTGACCTAATGAACAGTATTCTAATGGTTTATAGACCAGCAAGTCTGGTTAAGGGCTTGTTTATTTTAAGACGTTGAAGCATCCATGGTTGTGAATGCTAAAATCATGAATACCTTTAGCTTTTTTGTCTGTCTTTTGTTTCTTTGGCTCCTTTTTTGCTTTTTTATTTCCACCTGCCTGATTAGATTTTTCTCTTGTTTCTGCTTGCTGGATTTCTTTTTCTTCCTCCATGAGTTTCTGATGAATTTCAGCAGCAACCTGGTTGTGTAACAGCAATATATCAATCAATATAGCACCATTTATGAAATATTATAATCATTTGGATTTAGTCATCACCAGATCTTGTTAAAACCTCATTCCATTATAATAAACCATGCCTATGTAGCCAGTCTCCAACAGAACCCACACTCTGATTTATGACTTAAAAGGAATCTGGCTTTGTCGCAACAACAGCTTTCCCACAGCCATCACTCTTTCCATCCCTGCCTCAACCACAGTTGCATTGCCTCATGACACCGTTGCATTTCACTCTGTCATGGCTCTGTGGTTATGCACACATTCCTATGTCTTTAAAGCTCAGATGTTGTGGACTTATTCTGTTTTCTTCCAATGTCTGGTTATTGCTTAGCTTCCAATTCTGGGCATTTATCTATGCCAGTGTTTCTACAACATTTTTATATATTTTTACCCCCTAAATGCTCTACCTTTCATGGCATTTTAAGACTGCAGATATACTGTACATATATACACATGGTGTTGTTGTTGACTTGCTTCTAACTCACAACAACCCTCTATAGGGTTCCTAAAGAGTGGCTTGGATCCCGATCTTGAGATTAGCAACCCAGGATTTAATCTGCAACAGCACACCAGGACTGCTACTATACACATACTCCTCATTTATTGAGGATCTCATTGTCCTACATTTTAATTTATGGCAACAAGTAAAAAATGTACTATCCAACTCTTGTATGCCTTAATGACATGATCTGTCTATAATAAATGCTGAGTAAAAGATGAGAGCAATATTGGCTGTGATGGCTAAAGCTTTGTGTCAACTTGGCTGGGCCATGATTTCTCCCTGGTTTGGCAATCATATACAGATATAATTTGGTAGTTATGTAAGGATAGAGTCATCTTATTTTTTGAGACTTAATGTGGTCATCCTCCACTTTTCCATAATGTGGATTTTCACAAAATGATGTGACCTTTGAAACTGAACCATTTTGATAAATGAGGAGTGGATGTATAATATTTATGTACTGTAAGCATAACTGTGCTTCATGTAGAAAGAAGTGAGACTTTTTTGCTTTCTTCCCTTACTGGAACCAATTGTTAAGACTACATATTCTACACACTCTGATTGGTGACCATGTTTGTTGCCCATAAGGGGAAGTGAGAGAAAAACAGCAACGAAGCTGTGAGCTAAGCCCTACAATGTTCAATAGACTCCTGTGAACTCGGGTGGAGACCTGGTTGGCCAGCAGTGTGGCTAGATTTAGGGACTCTTCGGTCCAGAGTCAGGGACATGGTCACAGAGTACTAGAATGGAGAGTGAAGCATCCAACTGATAAGAAGAGAGGGCATATGCACACGAATACCCACACTTACAGATAATACCCACTTGACCTGACTTCAATGACTGGATGATCAGAGCTCAACTAGAAGAAGAAAGAAGAGGGGGGAAAAAAAGAGTAATCTGACACAATTTGATGAACTTGACCTACACCTATGGATGCAGTAGCTCAAAAGAGGGAACAAGTCTTTACAGCAAGGGTCATTCCCACCCCCTCCATACACAGAGTAGACAGAGATGGGCAACTTGGACATTGGCTACCCAAAATGGGGGGGAGGGGCTACAAAGGTAAGGTGTGACAGGCTTAACAAGCTTACAAGAGGGAACCTAGATCCAAAGGGCATGAAGGAAGGTAGAATCTCCACTGAGTAGTATCCAATCTGTCTAGGTGGGGTTGATGAAATGAAATGCGGATAGGTCTCTTATGATACAATAGTGAATAATTGTTATCAGGACTGCTTGTAAGGGTTGGAAATGTAAAGGTAGACATTTTATAGTAAGGAGGGTAGTGATTAACTTTTCAGTCTAGGAGTGGAGGTCCCTGGGACCATCAAGGGAGAAGAGCCGAAAGCGGGAACCTTCCCAGAGAAGCAGTGATGCCTGAAATGGAGCCAGAGATGATGACATGGAGAGATGGAGCAGTTGGGGACTTTAGACACAGAGAGGGAGAGGGGCTGTATGTTGACGACCAGGGGGCAGGCTTGTAGTGTATACCATGTGGTTGGTTGATGATGCATGGAGAGGATTGTAACCATGGCAATGAAACGATATACGATAGGATGAATGTAAAACTAACATTCTCCCATGTAAACTATCACATAATTCACAATAAAACATTAAAAAAAGAAAATATATATTCTATATCTCTTAGGTAAGTCCCTGTTAATTGGGTAAGTTCCCAGTTAACTCACTTAGTTAAAATCTTAATAACACAACTGGTGAGGAAAGGGGGTTTATGAGGATTTATTTATGTATTGCTGTGTATACTGTGTCCAAGCTTGATGTTATTGTTGGAAGAATGGGTAAGAGGATAGGATAAGAGGAAGGATGATAATGGTGGTGTGACGTGGAGTCAGTTCCGACTCACAGTGACCTTGTTTCTGAGGCTGTAAATCTTTACGGAATCAGAAAGACTCATCTTTCTCCTGTGGAATGGCTAGTAGTTTCAAACTGCTGACCTTGAGGTTAGCACCCTGACTTATAATCACTATGCTACCAGAACTCCTTAAAGGTTAATAGAAAGATAAATAAGACCCAGTTATTACCCCTAAAGAAGTTTACAGTCCTATAGGTGAGACAAAAAAAAAATCAATCAAATTCTTGCCACATTTTTATCAGTCGGTTCAGCTGTTCTGTGAATGCTCAGTCTTACCATAAGCCCCAATGGGCTCTAATTTTCCCCAGAATCAAACCAGTCCTACTTCTTTGTATTCTCTCTTGCTTTCAGCACCCATGCTATGCTTTGTTGTTGTTGTTATTAAGTGTTGTCAAGTCAGTTCCAACTCATAGCAACCCTGTATAAGGTTTCTGAGGAGCCTATAGTGGGTTTGAACCACTAATCTTGCAATTCAAACTGACCTTGTGGTCCAGCACATTATCCCACAGCACCACAGCAGGATGCCATTCTATGCTTTGGCATGCTATGTTTTAGGGGATGCAAAGTACATGTTCATTAATCGATGGACTTTCTTTAAAAAATAATCAGATTCCACTAAAGGCACTAATATCCACTTCAAACCCAACAGAACCCTGAAGAGCCACAGAAAGGCTTCAGTGAGTAATCCCATTTTTAACCAGATGCCCTTTCAATACAAATGAATTTTATGCTATATACTGTACTTGCAAATTCTTGGTAAAGCTGAAAGCAGTCTTGTTAGCATTCACTCCTAAATTGCAAGCAATTCATTTTTTAATCTGTTCTTGCAAAGCACATGTTAGCAATTTCCTTTAAAATTGGAGTTTTCTATTTTGTAAACAACCTTGTGATGATAATGTTTATAATTATCATCATCTTCATTTTGATGGGCCACTTGCCTCAAAGAACTCTGGGTTTCGTTATAAAATGAACTTAATTCACAACATATCTAACAGTGTAGCTTACAAGGCTGGAGAGAACTTTAGACATAATGCCTTGACATTGTGGGTGTTAAACAAGACTTCTTTCTTCCAAATCATTCCATACCTGCTAATTAGAAGAGAGTTTTGCTAAAAATTAAAATAGAATGGTAAATGGAGAGCTCTTGGTAGAGCTGCTATGTAGGACACAACCAGAGTTAAAGGTTGAAATTGCGCTGATCTCAGGTGGCACCATTTCCCCTGCAGTAATTAATGAAATCACGCCTGCCCCATTAGGAATTCAAAGTTCCTTGAAGGATGTGTGACCATCATACCCATAAAAGTTTATTAAAAATACAATATTAGAACAAAGATATGAGAGACCAAATGAAGCAGACACAGATGAAAATCCTGAAACCCTGAGCTTCAGAGGAAAGGTAAGAGAACTAGATTGAGTGCTTGCTGGGAGAAGCTGAGCAGGGACAGTGAGAAAGGAAGAGAGACTGGTGAACCACCAGCCAGATGTGACGTGGCCATCTTGTGAGCAGCTTTGGCAGCACAAGGTGTCCCTAAATAATATGGGAAAGATGCTATTCCTTCTTTTTCCCTATGCTCCCCTGGTGACCAGGGATGTGACTAGAACCCACCTGCATCTACCTCTATTTCAGATCCTGCTCTCCAGGAGTTCAGAACAATGTGGTCAGGAGCTATGCCAGTGTGAGGCACGGGTTGGCTGTGGTGCCAATTTGGTGCCCCGATTTGGGCGGGCTTGACTATATAGCTCCCACAGAGCTACCATACCAGCATTTAAATAGTCCCCTGTCCCCAGCTGACCTATGGTCCTAACAGACACTGAAACCAGCTCCATCAAGGGTCTCCACTAATTACGCCCAGAATGGATGCCCTGAACATAGATAACAACAGAGGTGGATAGGAACTCCATTTAAGACCAGGGTCTTTGCTGTCACATCCCTCCCACACCCACCTCGTGAACTCCTTGGCTTGCAGAACCCTTCCCACCCACCCCCAAGATTTTTCCTCTCAGGGTTCAACATGCTATACTGTTCCCCTCCTGTTTTCCGCAATGGTTTTGTTTTGTATTCTTTCTCCTCCTTCTTCTCTTTTCATTCCCTTCAATTTGGTCTTTTCTACTTCTGCTGCTGGTTTTCCTCCTTTTATTCTTTTTCTCGTTTCCTATCTTTTTTTTCCCTTTTTGTTCTTTCTTTACTACTCTCTATTTTAATCCTCTCCTTGGTTTTTCTAAGTGATTTAAAATTTTTTTTTAAATTTCTTACTTTTATTTCATTTCTTCTTTTTTTCTCTTCTAAAGCTCCATTTTCTTGTCCCTCCTCTCTTTTAAAAATTATTCTTAAGTGTTTTTGTTTTAATTTCTTCCTTTTATTTCCTTTCTTGTCTCTCCCTTCTATAGCTCTAGTTCCCTCTTTTGTCTTTATACTTATTATATTTTTCTTATGGTTGCCTCTTTTTACTTATTTTTTCTCTTTATTATTTTATCTCTTCATTGTTGGTTGTTTAT